AGGAGTTTATATTCTACTTTTGCGTACAAAGACAAACATGTATACTAATAATATCAGTCTAGCCTTTAGCTTTGGGAAAAAAAATAATTTCAACCATAAACATAAATGCTGTAAAAGTGTGATAAAGACTGTAGTAGGGATGGGCAAATGTACTTGAGCGCTAAGAAAATAGCATTTGAGTTGACACCTGAAAGACAAAAATAAGGCAATGACATGAAGATCTGGGGAAAAGCATTTGAAGCAGAAGGAATAATAAGGGCAAAAGCCTGAAGACAGAAAAGAGTATGACATGTTTGAGGGACAGACAGAAAGACAATAGCTGGAACATAGTGAGTAAGAGCAAGAGTAGAAAGAGTTGAGGCTGGAGAGCCTTGTCTCCAGCAGATCATGTAAAGACTTAGATAAAGTAAGGCTTAATATAGACATACCTTGAATTTCTTCTGAGAGTAATGGGAAGCTATTAAAGGAGTTTAATCAGTGATGTGTTGTTTCCTTTTTTAAAAAACAACTTAGAAATTCATTTTGGATGCTAAATAGGTAAGAATGTAGGAAGAGAGACCACTAAGGAGAGTGTTGAAGTGCTGACAAAAGATGATAGTGTCTTGGACTAGGAAGACAGCAGTGGAAAAGATGAGAAATGGCTGGATTCGAGGTAATTTTGGAAATTCAGCTGACAGGTTTTACTGTGAGATGAGAGGGTTCCAAGGATTTTGGCCTAAGCAAATGGTAGTGTCCTAGATGGTTGGCCTAGGTGGTTGTGTCCTTTACTAAGATGAAGAAGCTTAGGAGGGTGCAGATAATTGGGAGGGGAAATCAATTATTCTGTTTTGGCCACTAGTATTGAGGTACTTATTAGACAACTTTTACAGGGATGCTGAGAAGACATTTGAATATAGTTCAAGTCTATGTATATCTTTCTGGACTCATTTCTCACCACTGGCCCCCATGGGTCTATATGTTCCAGCCATACTGAACAACTTAAACCTTTTCTAGGCCCTCTTCTCACATAAGCTGTTGTTACTTCTGTTCAATGAATGAAGCTAAGTCTCAGAAGGGAGATAGCAATGGAGTTCACTCTTTGTTGGTCTATTCCTGGTCAATATTTAATGAGGTTCATAATCCTACTACTTCTTAGCTCAGGGACCTGTAAGCTTTCTTGGGGCTTGTTATCTGAGTGCTCTTTCTGGTCTGCTTCAGGGTGAGGACTGCTAATCAAGAAGCCCTGTTACCTCTCTGTTATCTGTGGTATGTTTTGGTCTCTTGGCCTTGGGCTCCCCAGCAGCATCTTCGTCTGATGATCTCCTCCTTTTACCTTTACCTGCCAAAAAAAAAAAAAAAAAAAAAAAAAAAAATTGAACAGTTAGGCTACATGTCATATGATGACAGGAAATGACCAAACATTACAGCAGGTGACTCTTTATCCCAAAGACCATCTGTGGCTGCCTCTAGGTTGGAGTTACTTAGGAAACTGAGGAGCTATAACAAACTCAAGTAAATGATGGAGCCATCTGAAACATAACATGTTCAAAAAGAAATTCAGAATATTTCTCTCTAACACTGGTTTTCCTCAATGCGTCCTTTCACAGTGAATGGCACCATCATCCTCCCAGATGTGCAGGTCAGACACACAGACGTTACTCTTGATTACTCTGTTTCCTTCACTCTTTCTACATCTAATTTTTCACCAGCCTGTCTATTACCTTTGCCCCATCCTCCTACCCTTTCTGTAGACAAAAAATCTTTAAAAAACCCAGTAAATTAGGTCATGTCACTTCCCTGTTTAAAATCCATTAGTGGTTTTCCTTTGCTCTTAGGATAAAGAACAGATGCTCTGTAAGGTCTTGCTTGATCTAGCCCCTGCTTGGCTCTCTAACCTTACCTCATGCCTCGCTTTCCTTTGCTCTCTGTGCTTTAGCTAATTGACCTTATTTCACTTTCTCAAATGTCCTGTTTTTTTCTCACTACATACTATTCCCTTTGTCCAAAATGCTTATCCTCTGTTACCTCACTGGTAGCTCCTACTTCTGCTTCAAATCTTAGTTCAAATGCTACTTTGTCAAAGAAATATATGCACTAAGCCCCCAGATAAATCTAGTCCCATTATATATTTTTGTAACACCTCATACTTTTCCTTCATAGTACTTATTACGGTTTGTTAATTATATATCTATGTGATTATTTTATTAATGTATGTCAACTCTACTAGACTTAAGTCCATAATGGTAGGCACCATGGTTTTTTCATTATTATATACCACAATGTTAGGCACATAGCAAATACTTGGTAAATGCTCAATTGAGTCATTCATTTAACAATAAAGGAAGAAGAATCCACAATCAGGGCAAGTCACAGTTCTAGTGGTCAAAATTCCTTACCTATCAAGCTCAGTTTAGGAACGAGGTACATGTCTTTTTCATTAATGATCAGCGTGGGGGCAGGTGGCAGTGGCCCAGGATCTGAATTCTCAGTGGCAGGAACCACAGAGCAGCGCTGTACAAAGTGTGTGTCTGCTAGTCGCACAAATGTGTTTGATACCTCAGCATAGTCCATGGTTTTGCCATCTGTATAAGAGGAAAGAGGCAAGTGAGATTGCCTAAGATAACTGAGGGTTCACTCTTGCCACCAGTTAATCTATGCTTTTGCTAATAGCTGTGGATATAGTACTGACCCTCCATGGTCTCTGTAAGCCGGTCTGCCACTTTCTTCACAACAGCTGACATTGTCATTTTGCCATTCAACAGCAGTTCCTCAACAATCAGCTCTCCAGTGTCGCTGTACAGCGTTTTGGTAGTGTAGATGTACCGGGGATACCTAAGCATTCGCAACACCCGGCTGCATTGGGCTTCATATTCTACCACACCACGTTTGTGCAATTGATATATCACCAGGTTATGTTGGATGAGTACACAAAGGGCTTTTTTCACCTAGATAGGACCCAAATGAAAGAGTGAAAAGACCTTAAGATGTAACTCATTACTGCTGGCAATTTTTTGTCCAATAGCTTACTAAGCATCAGGAGATGGCTAGATAAGAATCTTTGTGCTTATTTCCTCTCTCCATTGGAGTAGCTAACAAGAATCACACGTCAATGGAAGAAATCAGGAAGATTCCTTGTTGTGATGCTCATATTTCTTCTGATCCCTATCTTTCAAAGCACAGTTTACTTTCTTCTATCATTCTTTCCTTAAAGGCAGTCCTGAGATTAGTAGACTCATTGTGAATAAATTAGGTATGGCACGGGAAGAGCAAAGATTTGTCTAGGAGGCCACAATGAACTAGGAACACTTTGAGATGCGAAACTTGGGGCCTGAGTCCTGTCCTCTTTCCCCACAAATAATATTGTTCTGATCCTAGGGTAGGCTTTCTCTATTTTTCATTTTCTGGGGTAAGTAGTAACAATATTTAAAGGTAGGTGAAAGAAATTAATGAAAGAGAACAAATTAATGTCATCTAAACATACCTGATCCAGTGATGTTCCTGTGTCATTGGCAATTACTCTTAGTGGCTGGCTGCCAGTTCTGATTAGGTGGACTCCTATTTTTTCTACGATCTCTCCAAAATGTTCTTGCAGCAACAAAGAACACAGTTTAATTTCTGCTTGAGTCATTGTACTGGGGAGTCTCAGAGCTAGGAAAAGCAAAACAAAACTATATAATGCAAAGTTTTTCTTTCATGTTGGGAGTAGAGCTGCTGAGTGTCAATTAATGTATTCTCTTTATTTTTTGGAGGCTGGCTAATACGGGGTTCCAAACCCTTGACCTTGGTGTTGAATTCATGTATTCTTTCTGGAGGGCAATTTGACAACACATACCAAAAGCCTTAAAATCTTATATATCATCGACCCAACAATTTAATTTTGGATACTCTGTTCCAAGGAAATAATAAAAAGATGTCACTAGTTATCTTTATAATACCGATATACTGGAAAAAACCTAATGCCTAAGAGTAAATTATTGTATAGCCATCCAATGAAATATGACGCCAACATTTAAAATGATTTAGTACAATATATTAGCATAAAATATTATTCATTATGTATTAAGTGATAGAAGCAAACTGCAAAGAAAAATGTAGACTAAAATTCAATTATTGTTTTAAAAAACATGTACGCATAGGAAAAAAGACTGGAACTATATATCAAATTTATCTTTATGGGATTTGCGTGATTCTAATTTTCTTTAAAGATTGGGTGTAGATATTTTGCAATCTGTCACAGACCTTACATCCTACACTTCATTGCTTGAAAGAATTAAGGTCACTGTTAAAGCCCAGTGGGAGTAAACAGGCAATATCATTATCAGTCCATAAATGACAACTTTACAAAAGAAATTTAGCAGGTAAAGGAGAGCTTCTCAATAGGGTGTTTCAAACAGGAGAAGTTATGTTGATTGCAGGACAGTATATAATCCTGAAATTTCTACTTCTTGACAAAGTAGACACAAACAGGAACAGAAGTAGTTGATTATATGGCTACTTCCTTATTTCAAGCTGCTACGATTGTTCCTTTATTTCTCCCAATTCCTTAGAAGTCAAGTCTTTACCCCCCGGCCTCAGTATCGCCAGAGAGACCTTTTCCGCCCATCCACACGTCCTTGGAGGAGCATCTCCAGACCCTCTGCCATATTGAGAAGGATTTCCAAGGCGCTTGGCTCCTGGCTCTTTCTTCACTCAGTTCGCCCAGGTACCCGTTCCAAATGATCTCTTGGTCCAGAGTCAGGGCCGCCTCATTCAGACAACACTTCTCACTAACCTCAGGGTCAGTGCAATGCAGAGGCTCCAAGCCGAACGCCGAGTTCCCCACGACGGCTTCCTGCCCCTCCCGCTAGCCGCCCAAGCACAGGGGGAGCCCACGGCTCTTTCTCGGGAAAGAACAGCCACGGAGGAGGACGCGGAAAAGGGAAAAACGCGTTCCGCTCTACCCCGGAGTTTCGATGGTTTCCGGAGACGCTCTTTCTTTCTTCTCGCTGGAAGGTTGGAGGACCGGCGAGGGGGCTGTTCCAGGAGCCGGCGGTCGGGCCGCTGCGAGCGGGCTTTCCTTACTGCGCCTGTTTGGTGCCGGGAGGCGGGCTGTTGCCGCTCTGGGCCCGGCTCACTCACGTGACCGACGCGAGCTCTGGAGCGACTGGCCGCACTGAGGCGGCGGCGGAGGCAGCGGCGGCGGCAGCGGCGGAGCGGTGACCGCGGCCGGGGAGGTAGCGGCCTGGCGAGCGAAGGGCCGGCTGCCCTCGGACAGCCACGGCGGAGGAGAAAAATGGCGGAGGCTTCGGCGGCCGGGGCGGACGCGGGTGCCGCTGTAGCCGCGCACCGGTTTTTCTGCCACTTTTGTAAGGGCGAGGTCAGCCCCAAACTACCGGTAAGAGCTCCATGTCCTCTGCGCTCGGGCACCGACATAGATTCCTGGTCCCGATGTCCCGGAACTGTGTCTTAAGCTTCCCGCACACCCCTGATTTCCTTGACATCGGTCTCCGGTCGCTGGCCCCAAACCGCGGGCGTCACGGCCTTGGCCCCGTAACTCCTGCACAGCCCTTCTTTCCTCCTCGGCTGCTTCACCTGCCCCTCGTTCCCTCTCCCCTCTTTACCTGTCCCCCTCCATCTTGTCTTTCTTAGCAAGTTCTGCCCTGACACTTCTCCCCTGAATTTTCTTGCACTCTTCTTTACCTTGTCTCCTTCTCACGATGACCTCTGCCTCCCCCCACCCCCATAGTTTTCGCCGCTGCTTCTCACCTTCCTTTATTTCCTTTTCCACTTTTCACATCCCAACCCCCCCCCCCCCCCCGAGGATCGTTCCCATTCGGTTGTCTCTAGGGAAGGAAGGAAGCACGGAAGGAGAGGGTGGGAAGGTAACTGGGAAGGAGGAGGATTTTGGTTTTCAGTGGTTTCCAGAGGTTCTTGTGAAAGTGAAAACAGCGGTGTACTAATGACTTGCAGACTGCCTGCGCTATCACTATTGAAGGAAATGGCTTTAGGAAAAAGGCAGGACATTCTGTTTCAACTTAGTTTATTTTGGTTGTTTTTCTGCCAGTGTTTTTAGTACCACCTTCCTTACTCACCCTCTCGTTTTCTCTCTTCACTTGAGAGAAAAGATTCAGGACAGAATACTGGGGACTGCTTTCTCTGATATAAAATTGGTTTTCACCAGTTCCTGCCAGACTGTCTGTTATCCCCTAAAGAGGCAGTGCCATGGTTAAGCGCCAGCCCTCAAACTCAGAAGCTGCTACTGCTGGGA